TGGGGTTGGTAGGACTGGCACTAGGTTTGGGGAGAACCTAGAGAAAAAATAGAAAGGAAGGCTCTAAGAATGAAATGTCAAAAAAGCACATTGTCCATTGATTCCTAAATTTTTTTTCTAATAGTACAGAACCAAAGACAGTAATGAGCTTAATAAAATGTAATTGATTTCAAATTTTAGTGAAAATAGTATATTTCATGCATTTTCTAAGAATTATCTTATCTTTTCTGTGTCCTAAAATAGAAAATTGCTTACCAAAATGATGATTGATTGACTGTATTTATATACTGTCTTCTTCCCTTTCACATGTATTTTCTAATTCTATCCTTACCTTACAAAGCAATAAACTCAGTAGGAATTATGATTTGATCTCCATTTATCATGTTAGAAAATAAAGCTGAGAGAATTTGAGTCACTTGCCTACAGTCACACAGATATTAACTTCTAGAGACAGTTCTTCATCTAGTATTTTTTCGACCATATGAAACTTTCTTTTTAATGCTAGAAAGACCAGTGCTGTTATTCAGTCGTTTTATTCATGTCCAACTCTCCATAACCCCATTTAAGGTTTTCTTGGCAAAGATACTGGAATGATTTGCCATTTCCTTCTCCAGCTCATTTTACAGATGGAGAACTGAGGCAAACAGAGTTATGTGACTTGACCAGGGTCACACAGCTAATAACTGTTGGAGGTCACATTTGAACTCAGGTCTTCCTGACTACAGGGCTAGCACTCTATCCATTGCATCACCTAGATGCCTGTAGAATGACCAATAAACACTTCCTTTTCCCCTTTTTTTCCTGACATTGTTGTTATATAGTTTTAAAAATTATTCTGTATTTTTCTTTTTCTATATCATTCCAGTAATCTTTTGTGTGAACATTTTCTATTTTGCAGTGAAATAATGAAAGTAAGAAAACTGCATGTTAGGTTCTCAGTTTGGGATTACAGTTTTAGCAAAGGAAATATTTTGAAATAGAGATCACTCTGGTTTCTACAGACCTGAACAAGGATGCCATGTATATGATCTTTGATTGTAAGGATGAGGTGGTTAAGTAACTCACCCTCTCAAGCCTAGGGTGAATTAATTAATCACAGAGTCTTTGCATTCAGAGAACTACTATCAGATTCAAGTAGATAGCCCTTTTGGTCCTTATCATTTAGTTAAACAAACAATCCTGAAACTCTATTATAAACTAAATAGTTCAACTGCAAATTATTCATTTTGTCAAAGGATTGATCCAATGCCTATTAGTCACAAGATTGTATTTCTCCTTTCCTTCTGAATCTTTCTAAGAAGGTAGAAGAGGACTAGTCGGTGCAGCACAGTAATCTTACTGGTTTAGAATGTCTCCTTCTTGGATGCTTGAATGATTGAATGCTAGAGATCTTGAGAATTCATATTGTGTTAACTAAGCAACATATAACAAAGGAGACTTATAAAAAGGAAGTATATTCATATTAAAAATGAGTCTGGACCTATGACCCCGTTGGTATAGGGAGCTCTGATTGAGAGACTTTTCCTGCCAATGTAGCCTGATATTCTCTCTACAACTTAAAGTCTTGAGGAGCTGCCTAGAGCACTGAGAGGCAATGCATGACTTCTCCAGGATCATATTGCCAATATGTGTCAGAGGCAGGACCTCAACCCAAAGCTTTTTGGCTCTGAAGCCACCTCTCTATCCAATATATCACGTGGCCTCATAGATTAAGCATGAGAACATAGAAATATTTACCTTGTGTAGTTTACAAAGCACTTTAAAAATATTATCTCATTTGATCCTCACAACAATTCTGGGAGGAAGGTGCTGTTATTATCGGGCAGTTAGATGGTCCAGTGGATAGATTGCTAACCCTGGAGTCAGGAATATTCGTCTTCTTAAGATCAAATCTAGTCTCAGACACTTACCCTGTTTGCCTCAGTTTCCTCATATGTAAAATGAGCTGGAGAAGGAAATGGCAAATCACTGCATTATCATTGCCAAGAAAACCCCAAATGGGGTCATGAAGAGTGGACCCAATTAAAAAAAATGACTGAACAACAACAAATGAAAAGGTGCTATTATTATCATCATTTTTTGATGAGGAAACTGAGGCAGACAAAGGGTCACGTGACTTGCCCAGATCACACAACTAGTAAGGATTTGAACTTGGGTCCTCTTAATTCCAGATCTAGTCTGCTGTGATGCCTGCTGCTATTATTATTATTATTAATACCATTTAGTAGGTGGTAGTAGTAGTGGTAGTAGTAGTAGTAGTCAACTTTGTTGTCATCATCGTGGCAATTAGCTGGTACAATGGACAGAATGTTTGGACGTGAAATCAGGAAGACATGAATACTGCTGCTGACACTTACTAGCTGTATGACTCTAGGCAAGTCATTTAACCTCTGTTTGTCTCAGTTTCCTCAACTGTAAAATGGGAATAGTAATAGTACTCACCTCCCAGGGTAGTTGTCAGGATCTTGTGAACCATAAAGCACTATATAAATGCTAGCTATAATTATTATTCCCTTTTATTTTTTTCTTGGTAGATGGGTTCTAAATGTCTATTTTAGGTAAAATTCCCTTCTTCAATGGATCAGTTGGCTCTTAGGTGTGAGTATTCCTTCCAATGATAAGCTCCAACAGAGCTTAGCCTTTCCTGCCTGTCCTGTATTCTTCTTATTTGTATCCTCCCATAAATTTACCACAGTTCACTCATCAACATGCTGGATACATTACTCATATTTGCATTACACAAATATGAATAGAGCACATGAAATATCTATTAATTATATATTGTTCTCATCACATGACTGCCCCTCCTTTTTTCTTCTGGATATACATTTCTTCAGTGATATCCTTTATTCCCAAGCGGTATAAAGGATATCACTGAAGAAATATATATCCAGAAGAAAAAAATTACTAATTAATCCCTGGTTAATTCTTTGTAAGATATTGCAGTATGATGATGCCCCCCGCCCCTCACCTCTCCATCATCCTTTGTATGATACTTAAATTTTTGGAGACTATATAGTTCTATGACTCACAGCCATAAAATATCACTGGGAAAATAATGAAATTTTAAAATTGGGTCTTTGTTTTAGGGAGCATCTTGGGGTCATTAAAAAAATTCTTTTTAAAATCATCTTTGTAATTTCCCAATTACATCCCAATGCCCAATGCCTTCTCATGTTCAGTGCTAGGTTCTGCTGCTATGTGCTTATAGATGAGTACCATACAATGCCCATTCAATTGCATATTATATATTATAATTTAGGCATTCTTCATCCACTTTTTTTTACCTGTATTGGGTAGTTAGGTCAAATTCTTTTGGGTAATTTTGGATCTCATTTGGGAAGTTTTACAATGTTTTAAGTTTTGATGTAATAAACATATTATCACCTGCAAACAAAAGAATGTATATCATTAATATCAAGCCAGATTTATAGCAGGGAGACCTACTGGCAAAAGTTGTTTGTAACTGTCATGGAGGAATCCTAGCATAGTCTCTACAGTGAAAAGGGATTCCATATAGATCATGAAACCTTCAGATACTCCTACTTTGTTGATAATGTTGTGCTAAGTGAATCAAGCCCCGGAAAATTTCAGGCATATTTCTATCAAAATATTTGTTTTGATACTTTAAGGATCTTTTATTTAATTGGTATGAAAATACCTATCACACATGGAAATCATAATCCTTCCATGAGTTCTTAAGACATCCTCATTTGTTTCCTTGGCTAAAATAATTCATCCCCTATGACCAACTTTCTGCTGTTGATCATCTTTGAGTAGACTAGTCTGGGACTCATATAATAATCACAGCCTACCAAAATGTAGTATAATAATATGTTTTTTAAATATGAACATTCTCATTCAGCCCTGAGAATTCCATGGTTTTGTTCAGGGGTGTGCTAAATGTTTAACAACGGGCTCTACAAAAATGTATGTATGGCACACTTTAAAATTTAATTTTCATTATCAACATTTTTACCATCACCTTCTTAAATCTAGATAATCAACAAAGCAATAAGTCAAGCCCTGATTTGTAGAACTTGCCATTTTCTTATTTTGTAATGCTCAAAATAAAAATTTAACAGTAGGTTCTTGAAAGCCAGTGAAAGCTGGCTTCTTTATAAATTAGGAGGTAAAAGAAAATGCTACAGTTGTAATTATAATTTGTTATTAAAGATACAGAAGGAATTTTAAATGTAAAATTTTAATTAAAATTAATTAAAGTTTAATTTAACTTAAATTAAAATTAATTTAAATTTAAAATATATTGGTGGAACATGTTATAGTTGAAGGAATATTCCCTGGGGAGTCTTAGAATTTGGACCTAGAAGGAATCTTGGATATGGAGTCGAATTTCTTTGTTTTATATGTCAGAAAACTGAGCCACAACACGGTGAGGCGAAGTATTGTGATTTGTCCCAAGTTGCGCGTGCGTATTAAGTAATAAGAGCTAAAATTTGAACCCTATTCTTCTAACTTCGAATCTAGTCTGTCTCCATTGACCCAGGTTCAATAGTTTCAACTCTGCTGCTTTTGTGAATTACAAGTAGGAGAATGCTTTTGGACTAGATTACATGATCTTGGTGTCCTCAATGACTAGAATGATATATTTTTCTACAGCGACTTTTTTGCTTAAAAAAGTAGATACATTTTAAAATAATTATAGCTCTGAAATAAAATAATTTTATTACATTAATATTAGAAAAAAACATTACTCTTTTCAGAGGCAGTTAGGTGGCATAGTGGGAGTCAAGAAGACTGGAGCTCAAATGTTGTTTCAGACACTTATAGCTTTGTGATTCGAACAAAGTCACTTAATCTTTATCAACCTCAGATTCTTCATCATAAAATGGAAATAATAAAATTCCTACTTCAGATTGTGGTTGTGAAATTCTAGTGAAATAACATGTTAAGTGTTTTGTAAATCTCGAAAACATTATGTAAATATTAGTAATCATTATTATCATATCCTGATTGATTTTCTAATATTCATTTTGTAGGATCCAAAATTACGTGAGCTCTTGGATGTGGGGAACATAGGACGCCTGGAACATCGAATGATAACTGTGGTATATGGTCAGGACTTGGTCAACATTTCCTATTTGAATTTAGTAGCATTTCAAGAAGAAGTAGCCAAGGTAAAGTCTATTGAAGCTTTAAAAGTCCTTAATTATATTAGAAAAATGGTGATCCTAGTACTGCCTTCAGGTTCATTCCACGCTACACGGGCGTAATACCCAAAACAACCCGACAATGGAGAGAATGCTTTAGCTCTGCAATATTTTGTTAATGTCCTTGGGAAGAATTGGACATTTTGTCAAGTTTAATGTAAAATTAAGACAGAGACATTGCAGTGGTATTCACTTTACCACAACCCTCGCCACCCCCCCCCCCAGGTCTTTTGAAAATCAATTGAGATGTTAACCTATCAAATATTAAGAACTAAGGTAAATAATACAGCAAGTTCCAGTGGAAGTTAAATACTTGAAAGGAACGTAAGTTCATTAAGCAGTTTCCACTGAGAGTAAGTCAGTTGGTCAATGTTTGCCTTTTTTTTTTTAATGTCATCAGTCTCTCATGCATCCTCTTTTCCATCTCTATCCTATACACTAGCACAGACCTGCTTTGCCAATCACCTGAGCTACAGCAACAGCCTATGACCCAGCCTTTCTTCTTTCACTTTCTGCCCCCTCTACAACATTCATCACACCACTGCTTCCTTGTGCATAGATCTCCCTCCCATCAAGGGCTATTCTGATACTTCACTGTGGCATGGAATTGAACCTGGATTCTTTATTTCTTTGCCAGTGGAAGCTCAGTTAGGTTCTGTGAAGCTAAAAGAGACTCAGCATCATAATATAGGATACCAAGTAATAATTTTAGGGCAAGGAAGGGAAATTTAATAACTCATGAAGACAATATTCTTAAGTTCATAGAATTTGTGATCTTTGTTGATGGAGTACCCATTGCAGTGAAATCACAGACCTTTGAAGTAATTATAGAAAATTTTGCAGATTGGATCATACCATTCCTTTTCTTGGGACTGTGCAATGATTCCTTATTACCTACTGAGTAAAGTTTAAACTCCTTATCCTGGCATTCAAGGCCCTCGAGAGTGGGAAAGACATTGGATTTGGACTTAGTGGACCTGGGTTCAAATTCTGTTTCCGTCACCTTCTAGTATGTGACTCTGGACCATTAATCTCTCTCAACCTCAGTTTCCTAATCATGAAGTGAGAAGTTTAGACTGGATATCTAAGAACTCTCCCAACTCTAAAGCTATGACCCACATGATGTAATAATAACCTGGCACCACTTTAATTCTGACTGTATCTCACATAATTGTACTCCACATGTGCTATGCTTCAACAGAACAGGACTGCATGTCATTTCAAATAACATGCTACACATTGCCTTGCACCCATGTCTTTACTCCCTCTGTTTGGTATTCCTGCAATGTCCTCCTTTTCCCCATTTCTGTCTGTTGAAATTCTACTCGACTTTTAAGGCAAAGCAGAAATGCCTTCTCCTTCATGAATTCTTTCCCTTCAAATCAGCAACAATTATTTTCCCTTCATAACTCACATAACATTTAGTTTGAACTTTTTTATAAATTTATGTATCACTTTGCATCATGCTTATACATGTGTCTTATCTCCCTACTAAATTGTGGACTCCACTGAGACAAAGACCAAGTCTTATTTAATCATTATATGGCCCCTAGAACCCAGTCCAGTGTTGTGAACATAGAAGGTACTTAATAAATATGTGACATTTTGTGGCTTAGTTCTTCCTTTCTTATGCATACATGGAGACAATGTCACTATGTTCATTGTCCAGCAAGGGAATTTATTTAATTGCATGCAGTATCTCAGGCACCAAGTGGAATTCTAATGAAGTTACTATGTTTACCAATTCTCCCCCTCCTCACACTATTGGCAGTTGCCTAGGCACTCTAGGTACCATGCTTTATGTCTCTTCCTGGCACTAATAGAAGTCCTTGTTTCAAGGTCAGAAGAAGAAAAGAGAGGAAATGAAAAAAGAGGAAACAAAAGAGAATATAGGTAGCAGTCTTATGGTTTTTGTCCCTGTTGCAAAAAGGAAAGTGAGAAAAGAAACAGAAAGAATCATCTAGGCCCTGGAAGGAGGATACACAATCCTTTTCTCATTCCAGTATCATCAGAAATTGGCCTAGGAGTCTTTCAGTAAATCATCTCAGGAATAGAGAAAAATAATTCAGAGAGATAAAAGGGCAGGGAATATTCTTTCAGTCTGCAAATATTTGTTAGATGATGTTGAAGTTTGAAGGCTCCTTTGTAAAACAACAAGAAAAGCAAGATAGCAAACAGGAAAATATACACTGGAATGGTCATCTAAAACTAGGGCAATCAGTCAATCTGGAAATTTTGTTTTTCCATTAGGATATTATTCCCTGTAATATTTTGAAATGTTTGTGAATACATTTGTGTGGGTGCTTCATCCATCATCATAGACCAAAACACTTTCACAATTTAGAAAATAATCTTTGAGAGTTATCCTGGCCAATGGAGTCATTATCCTTCATCCAAATTGGTGGACTAATTAATCAGGTGAGTGAAATACCTGAATTAACCACCAAGTGGCACTTTACTGTAGACCCAGTGTTTGGGAGTTCTTCTCCCCTGTCAGTTACCTTGGTGCTGAATGCAGTGATTCGTCTCCCTTTTCCCAAGCCTCTCCAGAGTTAGCAAGGCTAGTCCTCAGACAGCAGTCTATCACCAGGCTCTTCCTCCTACCCTTTTAAGATTGTTAATTGCTACAAAAGCCAGTGCTCTGCTGGCATTGTCTATGAGAGCCTAGGATCACCTCTAAATCCTCATGAAGAGGAGCGTAGGACTTCAGTGGAAGACAACTACTAGAGCATGCAGTTAAATTGGAGAATTTTCATCTTCAGTATTTGTAACTTGAAGATATGTAATAATGTTCCTTCATCTTGCCCTCCCTCTAAATAATATTCTTCAGGTTCTAAGAATATGTATCTAGTGAAGCAAGGTAGTATAAACGCTTTCAAGTTATATTTGTTTTCTAAATCATTTAGGATTATATGGGATTATATGAACACAGTGTATGTTATCACAATGAATTAATATTCATTCATTCGTTCATGTTCTGTATGTATTGTCTACCTTTACATTATAGAGAACAACTCAATTTTTCTGCCTGTAGTGGGAGAGATATTCATGTATATACCCAGTTTCTCATTTTTTGGTGATTTTAGAATGTGTTTACATCAAAAATCCAAACAGCACCAGATTTATTTTAGTTTTAAAGCACAGAGGAAAGAGAAAAAACCCTGCTATCTCCTTACAGCATAAGGAAAAATCTTACAAGCTTCTGTTTCAATGAAAACTTATTTGTAATCTTTTTCTACTTGCTAGCTTTTTTTTTTCCTTTTGCTTGCTGAGATTAACATAGATAAATTTTGCTAATACTTGTGATGGGGAGGAGAGTGAATCCTTGATAGGTGGGAGGAGTAATGTTAATAGAGAATTGCAAAATTTAAAAAGGTTTATAAATCTTGATTTCCTAAATCATCCTATATTAATTTCTAGAAAGTATCTAGTTCATACTATTGTAGCAGCTCTCATAATTAGATAGATGTGGAGCTAGTTGAATGGCAAGACTCAATGAATAGTCACTAATGGTTCAGTGACAGCTTGGCAGAAGGTCCCCAGAAGAGCGTTCCAGGAATCTTGTGGCAGTTAACATTTCCATCAGCGACATGGATGAAGGCAGAGATGGCAGCCTCATCAGATTTGTAGATGCTGCGAAGCTGGAAAGGCTAACTAATACAGTGCATGGCAGAATTGGGATTCAAAATAATTTTGACAGGCTAGAGTCTCCAGCTCAATATAATAACATGGATTCCTTAGAGATATGTATAAACCTTACACATGGATTCAAAAAATCAACTTCACAAATATAGGATGAGAAAAGCAAGGCAAGACAGCAATTTTTCTGAAAAAAAAAAAGATCTGAGGGGATGGTTAGTATATTGGTAGCTCATTATGGGTTGGCAGTGGAATGTGGAAGCTTAAAAAGCTAAAGTAATCTCGGGCTGTTTTAAAAGAGGAATAATCTTTGGGGCTAATGATATGATAGTTCCTCTGTGCTCTGCCCTCTGCCTGTGGTCAGACCTCACCTGGTATACTGAGTGCAATTCTGGCCACCACAGTTTAAGAAGCACACTAGAGACTGGCTAGAGAAAGGCAACCAGGATGATGAAGGGTCTTAATCCACCTCATATGAGGATCCATTGAAGACAATAGTATTAGGTGGTTAGTATGGGGGGAAAAAGAAGATTCAGGGAGATGATAGTGATCTTCAAGTATTTTTAAGGATTTTCAAATGGAGGAGGTATTAAACTTGTTCTTTTGAATCCTAAATGTTAAAACCAGCTAGAGGTAGCAAGGTAGCTCAGCAGATAGAGTGCTGGAGCAGGAGACTGGAAGAGCTGAGTTCAAATCCTACCTCAGACGCTTAGTAGCTGTGTGACCCTGGGCAAGTCACTCATCCTCTGTCTATTTCAGTTTTCTCATCAGTAAAAGGGAGATGATGGTAGCTCCTAACTCTTAGTGTTATTGTGAGGATCAGATGGGATGATGTTTGTAAAGCAATATTTTGCAAACCTTAAATCACTGTGTAAATGCTAAGGGAAAAAATAAACAAAAGGTGGAAAATGAAAAGTCAAATTTAGGTTTTATGTCAGGAAATATTCCTGTTAGAGCTGGCCAAAAGTAGAATGGCTTGCCTTAGAAAAAAGTCTATAACCCTTCATTAGACAGGTTTGAGCAATGGAAGTATGACCATTAGTGGAGATTTCATTAAGGTAAAGGTTTAACTAGATGAAGTCCCTTCCAATTCTAATATCCTGAGATTCTGTGGTTTCTGTAAGTTGATAAATTTCATTGCACCTTTCCTTGATGTTGAACATAGCTTGTTACTTTTTAAATTAAATTTACTCGGGTTCATTTCTCTGTCATGTTATACTTCTGACAGATTTTGACAAATTTGATTTCCTGATTCACCATAAGGAATGAATCAAGAATCATTCTCTCTCTGGAAGGGATTACTAATATTCTCTTGCTCACAATTTTCC